AGGTTTCCTCTTTAAAAAAAAAAAAAAAAAAAAAGTGCGCGTGTGTGTGTGTGGCAGGGGAGGGGGAATAATACCTCCCTCTCTCCATCCTGTAAACTACATTGAGACCTGTCTATGCAGGTCACCTGCTAAGAGCAAAATACTATTAAAACTAATCTCGAGTTCCTACTTCTGGAACCTAAAAGCTGACACCGTGGCTCCTGCCTATTGTTCCACCTAAATCTGCATGTTCACAGAGCTCAAAGTGCCTCAACGCAATAGAATTTCCTGCCCAGGAGAGCATCTATCACACCATCCTCCTGTGAAATATGGAATATCATAACCTGAAGGAAACATAATTTAACATCCTGCTTGACACCAGACAACATTGAAATAAATAAACTGTTCTCACTTTGAGCCTAATTTGCACAAAATGAACTATTCCAACCAAGAGATCTTACAACACCTTCAGCTTTCCTGTGAAATACGAATTTTCATTTCCAATGAGGAGAAATTTTACAAACTTTGCACTCTTCTATGCCTGAGGAAGGATGAGTGTACCCGAAAGCTTGCAAATAAAGACTTTTTGTTGTTGATGTTGTTGTTGCAAATAACTAGTTGGTCTAATAAAAGATATCACCTCTGCCATGAGTTCTGATTCCTTTTGCCTGTAGACCAATATGGCTACAACTTGTATCCCTGCTTTTGGAAAAAAATTTAGCAGATCTGTATACCTTTCATTCTTTGGGTCTAATTTTCAGGAAGTTGAAGCTGTTAGTCCATGTCCATTTGTGCAGAGACTCTGTCACAACTGGAGAAATTGCCTGCACTGATGTATTAACTCTTGTGTATGTTAATGGTTTGAGTGCAACATGTTGCAGAAAGCAAAGTAGATTTGCACATGGTCATGGACAATGGGCTTCAGGATAACTTAGCCTTTAATGTCTTCATGTACCTGTTTTCAGCAATTACCAAAGAATCCAAACTGAAAAACAAACATAACGAGTTACTTTGACTTAACCCAGGTGTGTCAAACTTATCCAGCTCCATGGCTTGGATGAATGGTGTGGGGCTGGTTCTTAGGCTGGAGACAGGTTCTGCACACTGGATCCAGCATGTGTATTGAAGCAGCTGGAGTGGATGCTGTGTGCAATACCACACTGTGTGGCTCCCCCTCTATAGCCATACTGTGTGGCAGCGGCCATTCTGTCACTGCGGTGCCATGCTCCACGTGGTGGCTGCTCCAGGATGCACCGCTAGATCTGGCATGTAGCTGATGTGCACTGGAGGTACCACCACATGCAACACAGTCCTGGAGTGGCCAGATGGTGCACAGGACCATCCAGCATGCCCTGCATGTTGCCTGTGAGTCAACTGAGACCCACAGGCAGCACCAGGGGCTGGTTCCAGCCCACAGGCCGTATCTTTGACATTCCCGACTCAATTTATTGGTAGTGGAGTATTTCAAATTAAGATTACTGATCTAAATGTGGTCTACATTGGTAGCAACTTTTCCTGTATCATTATATGGCTATTTGGTGGCCTACATTAAATCAGTGTTTCTGAGGCTTCAGAAGTGTGAACATTCACACTTAGAGTAATTATAGCCACAGAACAGAGGCTTCCTCCATTGCACAAGCACTTTATCTCAAATGAGTGAGGTTAGGCTTCTGTCACTGCCTGGCAGCTAGAGATGATCTTATGGCTTCGGGTAACTGCTGTGGTCCCTTCTCTGGGTGTACTTTGTGGTTTGGCAGGTCAGTTGGTGAGTGAAACCACACCGTGCTGTCAAACAACGGGGTATGAATATCCTCTGGCACTCTGGAAGCAATGAAATCCTGGCAGCACAGACAGGTAAGCATGACTACTTAAATTCCTGGAGGAAAATGTTACTGCTACAAAAACACTGCTGGATGGTAGTGTTAGCAATGAGGTCTAGAGCAGGATGAGTAGAGAGAGTGCTACCCTTTGGGGTTGAGCTGAGGCACACTGGAAGAGCAGCGTAGAAGTTTATGTACCTGTTGCTGGGTTGCACCTGCTTTGTACAGTGGGGATCATTTTCAGTTGTTTATAACTTCTGGACCAGGGGTAGGCAGTGTTTTTGGGCAGCGTGACAAAAATACCTGCAACCTCACCTCACAAGATGTTGGTGTGCCAGGGGTGGATGGCATGGGAACCATGGGGGGTCTGATCCCTGTTGTGGCAGCACAGACCTGGCCCCTTCACCGTCTGCCCAGAAGCACACGTGCCAAGCAAAATGCCTTTGCATGCCACGCTCTGCCACCTGTGCCAGGAGTTGCCTATCCCTATTCTGGACTCTTCGTAAGCAAGGCCCCTTGGATTTATTTGAGAAATCTACCTCTAAAAACTTAAGGAAAAAACCTATTAAGGCCAATGACAGCAATTCTTCATCCAAAAGAACACAGAAAATATTCAGTCTCTGAGCACTATAGTATGAAAGAATAATTCATTTATAACTGAGTTGCTCTTTACAATTATAGTCAGCCTTAATCACGTTACAGAGCTCCAGTTCCTCTTGAACTGCCAGAAGATTTCTATAAATAAATAAATGAATGTAATTTCTCAAAGTCAAACTATTTCCTTTGACTTGTGTGAGCTACAGTTGAGTATTTTAAAATGCTTTTAGCTTTAGAACTTAATTTACCATTGAAGAAGTAATATAACTCTTCATCCTTCTCTCTAAAAGAGGGTGCATAATATGTTAATCCATGTACTCATTCCTTAAATGCATGCATATTACTATAGATTCTGTTTTATCACATATCCGTTATTTGTACATTTTGGGGTTACTTGACTGATTTTTCTGTAGGATAAAAACATTTTTTATCTATTCAATTAAATCGTGCCTGTATTTGCATATCAGTTTTTAGCATGTTTTTGGTTTGTTGCATAATCCAAAACTAGAAAAAGAAAGTCAAGGATCAGTTAGTTAAAAAATGCTGAGATTGTGCAATGTGTGGAAGGAGATTTCCTCTGGAAATAGATGGTAAATGATTCTCCTTTTAAATTAATAAGCTTATTTCACTTTTTGAGATATACTTAATAGGATTCCTGTTATTAACAGCATATTGGTATAGTTGGATCCTTCAAATGACATTTCGAAGATAGACTAAAGCAGAAAAAGATGGAACAAATGAATTTTTGGAAGATGAGCAGTGATACACAATTTTTTTAAAGTTATTTATAAAATGGTCCTTTAAAACCAAAAGAAAACCCAGGTAAAGGCTTCCTGTTTGCTGGGGCAGAGGAGGAAAATAAACCTCATTTACCAGCACTTGAGAAAGAAGGGAATACATTTTAAAGGGAGTCTGAATCTAATGGGTATCTGTAGCCACAGTGTTATGACTCAAAATGGGGGATGGTAAAGTAGAGTAGATGTGAGGATTCATAAGGATACAAAACACGACTTCTGGACAAGAATATAAATCTCTTACTCCAGTAAAGTTTGGTAAGCAATGAGTTAAACAGGGCATGACACTGGATGGCAGACCTCAAAGCTTGACTTCATTTCTGAGTTTTAAGCGCAAGTCTTCCTATTAGACTGATCTCCAGAGTCACTGTGAGGGCTGCATGTGCAAAATTCACTTTTGCACTCCTACTGTTGCAGGTGAGGGTCAGTTCCTCCTTACTGGCTTCCAAAGTTCATTCAGGTCACATTACAAAGAGGTGTCAGCTTGCCAAAGTAAATTTTGTAATTTTGCCAGGGTATTATTTACCTAGGGAAAAATATCATTATAGCATAGCCTATTCTTAGGCTTATGGTTTTACCTTCTTAAGTTTCTTGTGTGCTAGATTTGTGTGTCCTTGTGCCAGTTCTGTCACTCCCAGGAGCCAGTATGTCTCTGCTACTTCAGGGCTGAGATCTCCAAATGTGGCTTTTTTGGCTTCTAACGATCCTTTCAACATTAATGCTGCTCTCTGTGAAGGGAACAGTGGCCAAGAATTTCAAAGACTGCTGGTTAGGAAAATGGAACAACATCAAGCGTTGAAGGATATAAGGTAAATTCTGTTTGTTGTTAGATGATGCATTGAAAATCTGTCCTCTTTACCAAATAGACAAACAACAACAAATCTTCTCCAAGTGTGGTCTACTATCTGAGCCAAGCTTTCTTAAGTTAAATTTAAGACTGGAAACAACAAAGCACCAGAACAGCGTGTGCAGAATGAGAACTTTGGATGTCTTCATTTTCAAAAACGGAGACTAACTAAAGGATTAAAAACTTACTTTCTGGCATCTTACTAGCGTAACTAATTAGGTTTTCTGTCCCTTGGCCCATCTTGCTTTAGACAGCGTCTCACCCAAAGCCCACCGAATTAATGCAGGACTCTGATTATCTTTGGGCTTTAGATCATGACTATATTAGTTGTTCTTGAAAGCATTTGTGGACCTCGCTGTAAAGCCTGTTGATTGACTTTTCTGACATTCACAACCTCTTGTAGTTGCAAAAGTGCAGCTGACTGAGCTTTTATTCACAAGAATAAAGCAAGCCTGTTGTGCATGCTAGTACAGAGAGAAACCTATGTGACTGTCTCTTTCAGAAGTATTCCAGGCAGTGCGAAAATCTTTATTTGATTAATGGATTTGATCGTTGAGTCAGAAACAGAATCACAGGCCTGAAGTAACCCATCCCCTTCTGTACAACAAAGAGCAAATACTCACATAGACCAACACATGGAATCCTTCCCCCTACTTATAAATTGTGTCAAGGAACAGAAATAGACTGTTTTTCTGCAAGCCCTTACCTCCTGTTGTCCAGTGTCTATCAGGAACTGACTGAAATCATCCTCAGCTGCAAGGCACTTAGCGCTCCCCATTCCTTCAGCTTCTTCGAAAGAGTTTATGCTCTCCTGAAAGTACTTCTCTGCCAGATCTAAAGAAATTAAATATATCCATGAAACTAGAGGTGATTAATCCACTTTATTTACTCAGGACCAGAGTGCAGAATCCCTAAATATTATTACAGTGAGAAACTTGCTGACACAAATAGCCCCAATGAAACAAATTCAAATCTGTCAAACTCAGTGGGATTACTGTAAGAATGAATGTTCTCCAGGGTATGCAAGAACCCCACAAGAGCCAACTGAATGTTTTTTATTTGATTATTTGAACATCTTTGATAAAGCATTTCCAATTCCAAAATCAAATGTCAATTTTCATTAAAAGTCACCATTCAACAAAATCTATTAGAGATGTTAATGGGATATGGTGCACCTATTTATAGTAGTAAGATATGATGCAAGTGCCTAGATTCAAAAGTGTTAATGATATATAAAAGAAAAAAAAATCCTTTCACTTTTAATAATAAAAACATAGTATTAACAGATAAGGATTTTTTGTTTTTTATGAACGGTTTCTAAATATCTTTTCCAAACTTCAGCTAGTTTGTATCATAATTTCTATGTCATACCAAGAATTTTTTTGTACTTAATTGATAAATAGTCTTTAAGGTACTAATGCAGTTCCTTTTTAAGATTTCCATTTGAAATATGTTTTTGCTGCTTATGTATTATTTCAGTCTCAGAATGTTATTTTAAGGGGGCCTCTGGAAAAGAAAGAAGAAACTTGATGATTGATTTGTAGCTGAGGGAAAAGAGCCAGCGAAATTCCCCTTAAACTCTGTTCCTCTGACTCGAAGTACTGAACAAGTATCAGAGAATGTGCTTGAATTTTATTTTTTCTCCTTTCTGTGAATCTGACTCCTTGCGCTGCTGGAAGCTCTGGCTGCATCACAATGACACAGCTGGGCCCTGTGATTTCCTGGGCTATGCTATACCATGCCATTTATCATCAGTCACAGCGTCATCAAGTTCCAAGGGCTCCCTCAGAAGTGGAAACACAAGTGCAGATTTGGTAAGTAATGAAAGAAGAGAAGGCCTTACATGACTCTCATCTGCATATGAACCACCACAAGCACGGGCACCTACTGGGAATTTGTGCTTGTGTTTGGCCTTAACCTGGTGTCAATTCCCCAGTAAATGGTCCAATTCCAGCTGCTGCCTGTTACGGCCCAATTCCAGCTGATACTCTGTCTTGCACAGAGCACTAGCTCACTTTCCTATCCCCTGGCATCTGGACCAATTTGTACTTGGTACCTCAACTGGCAAGTTAAAAAGCTCACCTTCCCCTCTTATTCAGTCCCTAAATTCTTTGAACTCAATGATCTGCTTTAGCTTAGTGCTACAACATAGCACAACCATCACCTTCAGGCCTGTCCCCCAGAGTTGTTTCATTCTGAGCCCTGGATCTGTGGCTTGTCCTCATACCTGTTCTAACTGTTATTGACATGATCCAGCAGAAAAACTGCTACAAATACACAGGGCAAATTACATCTGGGAAATCTGTGCAGAGCTGTCCCAGAGCTGCCTGCCCCTCCCAGCACTACCTGCACCCCCTGGCACTTGTCCCCCTTCCCCACCCCGATGCCTGTGTCCCTTGGCACTTACCCCTCCCTACTTGGCCTCCTCTGCTGCCCATCCTGCCCACTGATCATTTGCCCTTTCTCCTCCCCTCACCCCCTCCATATGTGAATTAATGGATAGGCCAGATGGGCACGAGCCCAGCAGCCTCTACCAGTTCAGGGCCCTGGGATCCTCATCACCAGGGAAGTGAAAGCTGCAGTTTTAAACTTGGCGCTCATTTTTGTCTCCCAGCAGGGCCCCTCCACCAATGGGGTTGGGGGGGGGGGGGCAAGGCTGGGGCAGGAGAGCCACACGGTGCCTGGGGGAGGGGGAGGCAAGGGGGGTGGGTCAGGTAGCACCGTGCCTGGGGGACAGGAGGCCAAGCCAAGCTGGGAGAGTTGTGCCCCACCTGGTGTGGGGGGAGAGTGGTCAGGGCCGAGTCAGGCTGAGCCAGGAGCACCGCAGTGCACCGTCTCTTTACGGGCAGCGGTGCTGGGAGGGCCTTGGGGGCTACAGCCCCCCCCAATTCATCTTAGCCCCCCTGCAGTCACCCCTCCCAGTGCCGCCACCTGCCCTCAGAGACACAGCGTGGTAATTCAGCCCTGGCCCAGCCCAGCCTGGTCCCCTGCTCTGCATGGCTGCATGGGACAGCTGGGCAGCAACTCCCTGCAGGTAAGTACAATAGGGGCTGGGCGGGAAGCGAGACTGAACCGCAGGTGGCTCGTGGTGGCGGGGTGGGGGAAGGCTGCCTCAGCGAGGGGTGCGTGTGTGTGCATATGTCTGTTCATGGCAGGGAGAGTGTGTTTGTGTCTGCGTCCATGTGCAGAGAGTGAGAGTAGTATGCGTGCGCCTGTGTGTTTCTGTTCTGTCCTACCAGTGAGCAGACGTGGAAGACGGCATGAGACGCGCATTGCAGAGACCAACTGGCAGCTTCGGGAATGGTGTC